TTCCGGTACCTGCGCATGCGTCGTCATGATCTCTATTACTACATTAGATTGCTGGGACTGTCTACTCATGCTCGTACTTTCTCTTGCCTCGGCACGGCGTTCGATAGAGGATCGGATAACGACAAAAACAAGAACCAATAAGGAGCTGATAAGGAACACACTTATTGTGGATACCACGAAAATGTTGGGAAGAAACTTGTCTCCTTCAGCGGGTCGAGGTTTCCCATCCTGCAAGTCAGGTTTATCTGGCTCTTGATGACGTAGGTTTGGAGTGCTCGAGTTATTTTTGTCACTTCCTTTATCTGTTGAGGGAATAGTAAAAGTATTAGGGAATGAGGATAAAAAAAAATACTGATTTCCCTCACCTCCGACAATGAATAAAAAAAATTAGACCCTCATTACTATTCTATCATTTCCACCTGCAAGTTACAGAGCTGCATCATATCAATGGCAGAGTGTGACTTATTACTTTATACAAGGGAACCAGTCTCTTATTATTCATCCGGCGAGAGTGGTGGAGGATTTTGGTAGTGTTGTTATAACATCTACCTAAGGCTCTGCAATATTTGTATGATCCTCCTTTATTGGCAGTTAATACTCTGTTAACGAAGACTGACCCTCCCCTCCCCCCCACCTCGTTCACCCTTAAAACCATTAGAACACCCCAAACTTAACCATCCACCGGCTCCCACCCCACCGGTAATAAATAATGACTGGTCTCTAAACAAAAGGAAAGCAATGATTTTTTTAATTCTAATGTAAGGTTGATCGACGGTCGTGAATATCGCATTTTATCTCGATCTCGTTTCACGCCTGGCTTTCTTTCCCTAGTCATGACTATTTGTGTGTAAGAGCCTGAGCAAAAGCTCAGAGTTCATGGCCTCTTGGCTCAAACTGAAGTTTCACAGATTTCCACATCTAAAGCAGAAACTGTATCAGCCTTGCACCAAAGAGTGAACACACAAGGAGTAATTAGGTTCTTTCCTTTGCGCGCGTTTCAGCAAACGAAAAAGGAGATAGAGCAAATTTTTTTACAAGCCGGAAGTGAGTGATTTGAGAGCTTTCCGAGTGTTCTCCCAACACTCCAAGTCGCTTTATCACGTTAGAGAGCCCGGAACAACTTATTCTATTGCTTTTATAACATAACTAGTCACACGCGGGCTCTACAATCTGATAAGTATCCGCTTAGAGCTGAATTGACTAATCAGACGCTTCATTATGCTCTAAACTTTGACAAGACTTCGGAGGATGGTGAGGGTGGGAAGGAGTGGGGCCTGGGGGGTATTTGTATTCCGAGCTCTTTCTCCTTCTTCTGTTCTAATAGAGCAATAGTGCCATCAAAGGATACTAAATTTATAATTTGAATATATCAACAAAGTTGAAATGGTAAATTGGCCACCGTTACGATTATAAAAGATGACGTTTCGAGCGTACGTTTCGAGCGTTAGCCCTTCGTCGGAGCGAAGGTGGCCAATTTATCATTTCAACTTTGTTGATATATTCAAATTATTTCGTTACCCTCACCGACGCAGCCCCAAAAAGTTTCATTAGAAACTATCAGCCTTTATTCATAAAAGA